CGGCGATGCCTTTGCCTCTCTAATCGGCCTCCGGATGCTCTAAATCTATCCAAAATAGATTTATACCATCAAAATATACTAAGGGGACAAAGCCCACTCGAAAAGAACCAATTTACATCAAGAATCCCGAAATTGACCAAATTCGACCCCCGGGCCCACGTCTCGGAATCCGATACAAATCATAAACTAGAATCCTTGCATTCTCACGACTTCATACATATCAAATATGTCAAAATTTGACCACAAACAACCCTTCAAATCCCCGGATTTAGGTCTCAAAATTCCAAGGCCTTACTTCCAATTTGCTACTGCTTTTCCCATATAATTCAAGCTTACAACCTTAAAAATCATCATATAACGAGTTTAGGGACCAAGGACCTTACCTCTAAGAAGCCCTCTTGAATTCTCCCTTCAATTATCTCTCCAAAGCTTTTTTTTCCCGTTTGAAATGTTATGAAAAACCACTCAAAATCGCGAAGGTGAAATAAACATATTCTGACCCAGCAAAACCGCACCTGCGGACCCGCACCTGCGGTCCCGAGTGCGCACCTGCGAAATTCTCTTATAATTCCAAGGCCGCATCTGCGCAAAGAAACCCGCACTTGCGCAATTGCAGTTGCAACCAGGACCTCGCTTCTGCGGTCCCAGCCTGCCCCTCTCCTGGGCGCTTCTACGGCTCTAAAACCCGCTTCTGTGAGTCCGCACATGCGGTCCCCTAGCCGCAGGTGCGGTTATGACAGCAATAGAAATACTTCAGCTGCCAAACCCAACTTAAAATCTTCCGTCAACTATCCGAAATCAGCCCGAGGCCCCCGGGACCTCAACCAAAAGCACAAACAAGTCATATACCACTTTCCACACTTATACCAATCTTCAAAGCACCTCAAATAACATCGAATCAACCAAATCACATCGGATTCAAGCCTAAGGTTCCAAAAATCTTCCGAATTTCGCTTTCGATCAAAATGACTATCAAACCTCGTCCGAATGACCTAAAATTTTGCACACACGTCACAAATGACACGACGATCCTACTGCAACTTCCGAATTTCCATTCCGACCCCTATATCAAAATCTCACCTATCAACCAGAAAACGCCAAAATTCCAATTTTTTTAATTCAAGCCTAAATCTACTTCGGACCTCCAAAACACATTCCGATCACGCTCCTAAGTCCCAAATCACCTAACGGAGCTAACCAAATCATAAAAATTCCAATCCGAGATCATATTCTAACATGTCAAAACTTGGTGAAACCTTTCAAATTTTAAAGCTTCAAACTAAGAACTGTTCTTCCAAATCCGTTCTAATTACCTTGAAAACCAAAACCAACGATTTACCTACATCATAATACATCACACGAGGCTAATCATGACCGAGAACTGGCAAGCGAAATGCAAAAGCTCAAAATGACCGATCGGGTCGTTACAGGAACGCATTACTATGGACTTCGTAGTTGGGTTACCACGGACGTTGCGGATGTTTGATGCAGTTCGGGTTATTGTCGATAGGTTGACCAAGTCGGCACACTTCATTCCAATGGTGACTACTTATACTTCGGAGAGGTTGCCCCGATCTACATTCAGGAGATAGTTCGGTTTCACGGTGTGCTGGTTTCCATCATATCAGATAGGGGCCCTCAGTTCACTTCCCATTTCTGGAGAGCTGTTCAGGGTTTGCTTTGGACCCGTATGGAGCTCAGCACAACATTCCATCCTCAGACCGACGGGCAGTCGGAGCTGACAGTTCAGATTTTGGAGGACAGCTTAGAGCATGTGTGATTGACTTTGCAAGACGGTGGGACCAGTTCTTGCCCTTGGCCGAGTTTGCTTACAACAATAGTTATTAGTCCAACATCGAGATGGCCCCATTTGAGGCTTTATATGGTCGGCGATGTCGTTCTCCTATCGGGTGGTTTGAGCCCGGCGAGGCTAAGTTGTATGGTATAGATTTGGTGAAAGATGCCTTAGAGAAGGTAAAGTTGATTCAGGAAAGTTGAGCCCAAGGTTTATTGGCCAATTTGAGGTGTTGAGGCGAGTTGGGGAGGTTGCTTATGAGCTTGCTTTACCTCCTAGCCTATCAGGAGTTCATCCAGTCTTTCACGTATCTATGCTTCGGAGGTATCACGCCGACTTGTCCCATGTGCTAGACTTCAGTACTATCTAGCTAGATGAGAGCTGGGGTTATGAGGAGGAGCCAGCTGCCGTTGTTGACAGATAGGATCGCCAGTTGAGATCCAAGAAGATTTCTACGGTGAAGGTCCAGTGGAGGGGCCAACCAGTTGAGGAGGCGACCTGGGAGTCCGAGGAGGACATTCGGAGCAGATACCCCCGTCTTATTCCTAGCTGGGGTACTTCTCTATGTCCGTTCGAGGATGAACGTTTTCTTAAGAGGCGGAGAACGTAACGACCAGACTGGTCATTTTGCTTTCTAGAATCCCATTCCCCTAAATAAGACCTCCCGTACTTGCTTTAACTGGTTTATGACTTGCGAGGATGGTTGGTCCGGGTTTGGAAGGGTTTGGGTTGAAATCGGAACACTTGGTTCCTTAAGGTTGGCCTAAAAGGCCAAGTTTGACTTCGGTCAACATTTTTAGTAAACGGACCCGGACTCGTGTTATGACGGCCCCGGACGGTCCGTACTAAAACATGGGACTTGGGCGTATGCCCGGAATCGAATTCCGAGGTCCCCAGCCCGAGTAATAATTTTTTTTTAAAAACTGTTAAATTGAAAATCTAAGGATTCAAAGAAATGAATAATGCTTGATCATGTTGGTATCGGGCCCGTATGTTTGTTCCGGAGCCCGATACAGGTCCAATATAACAATTAAGTCATATCTCTGAAATTTGGTGAGAAACGGGACTGATTTGATGTGATTCGGACGTCCGGTTGTAAAAATAGGAATTTCAAATGTTCTTAAGGATTTCATGTGTTTTGGTATTAAATCAGAAGTTTTAGACGTTATTTCGGCGATTTGATCGCACGAGCAAGTTTGTATGATGTTGTTGGACATGTGTGAGTATTCAGAGTGAAGCCCCAAGGGCTCGGGTGAGTTTCGGACGTGGGTTGGGAGTGAAAAACACCCCAATTTTCTGGTGTTTCTGTGCAAAGTTGCAGGTCTCGCAAATGCGAGGAAATGTTCGCATTTGAGAATCTCGTATTTGTGATGAAAGTAGCGCATTTGCGATGAAGCCTGGCTGGGGCAGTGGTCGCATTTGCGACATTTTGTTCGCATTTGCGAACCCACCAGGGGTCCGTATTTGTGACCCTTCTGTCGCATTTGCGATCATTGCAGAGGGAGGCCCAATTCGCATCTGCGAACCTTTTGTCGCAATTCCGACTTCGCATTTGCCAACCTGATAAAAACAAGATTTAACCACAAACTTTGTCATGGAATAGAGTAAAAATCATATATTCTTGATCCTTAGGTTATGGCTAACAACTTTCTTCAAAAAATTTCTGGAATCCGGGCACGTGGGCCTGGGGATGAATTTTAGGAACTTTGCATTTAGGGTTGGGAAATTACTCTAATAGCTAGACTATGAACTCTTAAGCTTGTATTGACTAGTTCTTACCCCGTTTGATTAGTTTTTTGTCGTTCGGCTCCGAACTGAGGGTTTTGGGGACGTTCTTGAGTTTGGAAGTAAGCTTTGGAGCAAGGTGAGTCTCCTTTCTAACCTCGTAAGAGGGAAATAAACCCCTAGGTGAATCAAACAAATGCATGTGATAGTCTGTGGGGCTACGTACGTACATGGTGACGAGAGTCCGTGCGTAGCTACTATTATGCTAATTGTCCGGGTAGTTTAGGACCCGTATCATACAATATTTGCAAATTCTTATGTTCTTACTTGCTAATGAGATCACTTAGGACATGTTAGGGATTTAAAAATAAATATAAACGAATGTACGCACTTACTTGAGGACTTGTATGAATGTATTTGACTATAAATGCGCCTTTTTGTGCCTTCTTGATAATAATTGTGTGTACGGAAAAATCGGAGGGTCCAATTTCCCGTCATTAAAGCATTTTGGAAGATCGCCTTGAAGCCTCGAGGCTGCAAAGGTGCGCTCAAGTCTTCTCCCTCGGAACCCATCGACACCCGGTCTTAAGAGGATGACGGTCGGGGCTAGAGTGAAAATGGGAAGTTCCCATGAAGCGGCTAAGTATGTCGCGGCTGAGTCTGACAAAGCCTAGCCTGGCTATTCTGAGCCCTACTCGGGACGTCATTTCCAGCCGTCCCATCTCCGCTCCTTTACAGGTAACGGATTCCTTACCGTATAAGTTTCCCCCCTTTCTATATAAAGGGGATTTTCACTATTTTGTAGGCAACTGATGTTGCTCCAAAGGCTCTACATGAAATATATGATAACTCTCTCTCTTTCTCTCTAAGATACTCTCTCGACATTGTTGTTCTATCCTATTTTTTTCATACTTGTTCCATGTTCATTGCTTGCTTATTGCTTATCATTGGCTATAAAAAGCCTCCTTTAATATTATTGCATCTGTTAGCCCTTCCCCGATTTCCCCCGATAGCTCGAGACTCGACCTCGAGACCCCAAATCGACCAGCTCGAGGCCCCGAACGGCTATCTCTCGGTTCGATTACTGCTTTATTTTAGCTCGCGTCTCACCCTCAAACTACACACTCACAGCATCAACCGCTCCACGACTAGCATATAAATAGGTCACGTATTTTTAGAGTCCCATCGGCAAATTTAGTTGTTATTACCATTTTCACGGTAAACAGTTTGGCACCCACCGTGGGGCTAAGAATAATAGTGATTATTTTCTTGCTAGTTTCATCATACAAACGCAAGTTTCTTTCACACTTCTTCTTATCCAAGATCTTTGATTGCAGGTCAAATGTCTGGCTCAGTGAAAAGAGTTGAGAAGAGCAACCTCAAAAACCACAAAGCGAGGGACATCGCTGTCCCAGATTTCAGTGCTTCGCCGCAAAACTCGACCTAAGCAGAAGTAGAGATTCCTCAACACGACGTCTGTATGATAATTGGAGGAACTGACACCCCCCAATGGCTCATGTTCAAGCGGACGAGAACATCCACCGCAGAAGGGGGTCCGACCCGAGACCGCATGCCCGAAGACACCCTCGCGTTCAGCGAAGAGGATCTCGAGGCCATGACAGAACCGCACAATGATGCGTTGGTGATCTCGTTTCTTTCAAACAATACTAAGATGAAACGTGTGCTCGTGGACGCGGGCAGTTCGACCAATATAATCAGATCGGAGGTTATGGGACGACTGGGGCTGCTCGATCGAGTTACTCCCATCTCTCGAATCCTCCACGGCTTTAACATGATCGACGAGGTAGCGAAAGGGGAGGTCACCCTCTCGATCGACAAGTCTGGTGCAATTCAAAACACAAAATTCCAGGTCATCGATGGTGACATGAGGTACAATGCATTGCTCGATAGGCCTTGGATACACGGCATGAGGGCAGTACCGTCAACCCTGCACCAGATGATAAAATTTCCCACAAAGGACGGCGTAACAACCATATATGGAGAACAGCGGGCGGCGAAGGAAATGTTCGCAGTTTGCCACGAAGTGTCGGCCCCGCGGACCCGATTTCTGGAAAGCCCAGGAACATACAGGCCCCCGAGGACGACGAAGAAGACTACTCCACCCCTCGAACCTTCGTCGCACCCGAAGAATCGGACGCAACTAAGTCAACAGTAGAAGAATTGGAGCAGGCCATTTTGGTCGAACACCTCCCAGACGTAAGGTATATCTGGGAACGGGGCTAACCCCCGAACTCAGAAGAGGGCTCATTCAATTTCTTACTAACAATATCGATCGTTTCGCCTGGTCCCACTTAGATATGATAGGAATTCCGCCAGAAATAACCTCTCACAAACTAAGCATCGATCCCAAATTTAAACCCGTCAAGCAAAAGAGAAGGCCACAGTCTGAGGTAAAACATGCTTTCGTCAGAGAAGAGGTAACAAAACTTCTTAAATAGGATCCATTAGAGAGGTAAAATACCCCGAACGGCTGGCCAATGTAGTAGTAGTACCTAAAAAGGGAAACAAGCTAAGAATGTGCGTAGATTATAATGACCTAAATTAGGCGTGTCCCAAAGATTCCTTCCCGCTGCCTAACATCGATCGTCTGATCGATGCTACGGCCGGCCACGAGACCCTCACCTTTCTCGATGCCTACTCGAGGTATAATCAAATCTAGATAAACCCCGAGGACAGGGAGAAAACTTCGTTCATCACAAAGTATGGTACCTATTGTTATAATGTAATGCCCTTCGGACTAAAAAACGCGGGAGCAACGTACCAACGCCTAGTTAATAAAATGTTCGAGCATCAAGTAGGAAAATAAATGGAAGTATATATTGATGACATGCTAGTTATGTCCCTGCGCACAGAGGACCATTTGACTCATTTGCGGGAAACTTTCGACATCCTCAGAAATTACAACATGAAGCTCAACCCCGAGAAATGCGCCTTTGGGGTGGGTTCGGGCAAATTCCTGGGCTTCATGGTATCAAACCGGGGGATCGAGATTAACCCCGACAAAATCAAAGCCATCGAAGAAATCACGGTGGTAAATAATGTGAAGGCCGTGCAACGGCTAACAGGGCGGATAGCAGCTCTGGGCAGGTTTATATCAAGATCATCGGACAAAAGCCATCATTTTTTCTCTTTATTTAAAAGAAAGAACAACTTCTAATGGACTCCAGAATGCCAACACGCTTTAGAGGAACTAAAACGATATCTGACTAGCCCACCCTTGCTGCATACGCCAAAGGAGGATGAAACACTCTATCTTTACCTGGCCGTGTCTGAAATAGAGGTAAGCGGCGTACTGGTTCGAGAAGAGCAAGGTACGCAATTCCCTGTTTATTATGTAAGCCGGACCTTGGGGGATGCCGAAACCAGGTATCCCCATTTGGAAAAATTGGCTCTCTCACTAATAAGCCCTTCGCTAAAGCTGAAGCCATATTTTTAATTCCATCGTATCTGCGTTCTATCAACGTACTCCCACCGGAGCATATTGCATAAACTCGAGCTATCGCGCCGGTTGGCCAAGTGGGCCATCTAGCTCGGGGGGTATGATATCGAGTATCAACCTCGAATGGCCATCAATTCCCAAATCCTGGTGGACTTCGTGGCCGATTTCTCGCCGTCTCTTGTACCCGAGGTTGAGAAGGAACTTCTATTAAAATCAGGGACGTCATCTGGGATATGGACCCTGTTCACAGACGGCGCCACCAACATAAGGGGCTTCGGGCTCGATATAGTCCTGAGGCCACCAATCGGCGGCGTGATCACACAATCTATAAAAAGCGCAAAGTTGACTAACAATGAAGCCGAGTACAAGGCTATGATTGCAGGTTTAGAGCTTGCTAAAAGCATGGGAGCCGAAACCGTCGAGGCTAGATGCGATTCCCTCAGGGTAGTAAGCAAGGTAAACGGGAGCTACAAAGCTCGAGAAGACAGAATGCATAGGTATCTGGACAAAATCCAAGTCGCGCTACGTCGCTTCAAAGAATGGACCTTAGTCCATGTACCCCGAGAGCAGAATAGCAAGGTCGACGCCCTCGCAAATCTGGGATCTTCCGTTGAAGAATAAGACCTACTCCTCGGGGCTGTTGTTCAGTTATTTAAATCGGTGGTCGAGGAAGGTTACGTTGAGATCAATTCCACCAGCCTAACATGGGACTGGAGGAATAAATATATTGATTATTTAATGGACGGGAAGCTGCCCTTGGATCCAAAAGAATCAAGGGCCCGGCGGACCAAAGCAGCCCGTTTCTTGCTCGACGAAAACAAGACGTTGTGCAGGAGAACTTTCGACGGCCCCCTAGCAGTATGTCTGGGGCTGGGTGACGTGGATTATGTACTCCGAGTAATTCACGAGGGCACTTGCGGAAACCATTCCGGCGCTGACTCCTTAATCCGAAAGTTGATCAGAGCAGGCTACTATTGGGACAACTTGGAAAAAGATACCAGAGAATTTGTCCGAAAATGCAACAAATGCCAGAGATTTGCTCCTATGATTCACCAGCCCGGCAAGCAACTACACTCGGTCTTGTCACCATGGCCATTCATGAAATGGGGGATGGACATCGTCGGCCCCCAGCCAACGGCACCAGGTAAAGCTAAATTCATCTTATTTATGACTGACTATTTCTCAAAGTGGGTGGAAGCGCAGGCCTTCGAAAAAATAAGGGAGAAGGAAGTCATCAGCTTCATATGGGACCACAATATGTGCCGATTCGGAATCCCCTCCGAGATAACATGCGATAACGGGAGGCAGTTCATTGGGAGCAAGGTAACACAGTTTCTCGAAGACCATAAAATCAAGAGAATCCTGTCAACACCTTACCACCCATGTGCGAACGGCCAGGCCGAATCCACGAATAAGACCATTATCCAATACTTAAAAAAGAAGTTGGAGAACGCCAAGGGGAAGTGGAGAGAAATGTTGGCTGAGGTACTGTGGGCGTACCGAACGACTTCAAAGTCGAGCACAGGCGAAACACCTTTCTCATTAGTATACGGCACCGAAGTGTTGATTCTAGTGGAGGTCGAGGAGCCGAGCGCCAGATTCCAACACGCTACCGAAAGCTCGAACAACGAAGCCATGACCACGGCCCTTGAACTATTGGATGAAAAACGAGAATCTTCGCTGATCTGAATAGCCGCCCAGAAATAGAGAATCGAAAGATATTATAACAGAAGAACGAACCTCCAGTATTTCGTAGTCGGAGACTTGATCCTAAGGAAAGTTACTCTCAACACACGAAATCCTAATGACAGAAAACTAGGACAAAACTAGGAAGGGCCATATCGCGTCCTCGGAATAGTCGGCAAAGGATCTTACAAGCTCGGCACCATGGAGGCGAACAGCTTCCGAGCAATTGGAATAAATCAATGCTAAAGCGATATTACTGCTAGGACGCCTGATTAAAAACTCTGCAAATGCCGCCGGGTAAGTGTTGCACTCTTTTCCTTCGACCAGATTTTGTCCCCAAAAGGGTTTTGCTGGCAAGGTTTTTAACGAGACAACACCTATATGCTACCTAAGGGGAATCCAACGAATCTTCAAAGCTTCTTTTGCTGCCGATCACGAACGCCGAAGGACATCCTTTCGGAAGATCATCCGCTCGGAAGAGCCAAAAAATACCAAACAGGACCCTAATGAGAAAATGATGTACCGGGCCAAATGGTCGAATGAACTGTGCCCGCACAATCGAGCCCCCGGTGGCAGAGGCAGATGTACTAGTGTCAAATAATCAAAGAATGCTTTTTGCCAACATGATTCAAGCTCCAAGGAAAACCCAGCGTTTTTTTCCAGAACGATTTCTCCATCAGAAAACGTCCCGAATACTCAGAGACTGGCATCGATAATTCGGCACCCGCATGACCTCAGGGTCAAAACTTCAGGCTAATAAGCCCTCAGCAAGGCAGCACGAAAATCATTAACTGTCTCCAAAAAGAAAGCGTCCCGAATACTCGGAGACTGGCGCCAAAGAACTCCGCATACGCACGACCTCAGGGTCTGAATCTCCAAAGTCGTAAGCCCTTAATGAGGCAATCCCGAGCTCACGAGTAACAGATCTCATGTCAAGACAAACTCGATGATTCGAAGACTATCGCCAATCGCCAGCAATAAACCCGAGGCCATAAGACCCCGAGCGGGCAGACTCGGTCTTGTAAAACTTGCACAAAGCAAAAACACAAACTGTAAGACCTTCAAGCAAGGCATGAATCATACTTGCATCAAGTATCAGCAAAAAACTGTAAGACCTCAAAAGGCATAAAAAGTTTTGTAAGACCTTGTTAGTGGCATAAAATCAATCTCGAAGTTCAGGATATATATCGAATTTGTAAGACCCCTAAAAAGGCATACCCTCGATATAGACGCCTAAACTACTGTACTCAGGATCAAAAAATGGCTCCGACCTAACATAAATGACTACGGTCATACGGCTGCACCAGCCAAACTAACGTGACTCGGGGATGCCCGACCGTCGCTACTAAATCATATGCCATTACTTCGAATCTACTTCAAAAAGAACAGGTTAAATAGGCTACCCTCAACAGGCAAAACAACTTCGACCATGTTAGCTCCATATTATAAGGCTTCGAGCTACTCAGCCTACGAGCCAAACCTTACGAGGTGCTCGAACATCGCCGATAACGACTGGAAATCGAGGTTCTTCCCGAACCAACGACAGGTCAGGCAAAATCATTGCAAAAGTCCTTAACGAGAGGAAAATAAAGCCTAGCGAGCCTCAGGGCCGCACATATGCCTAAGGGCAAAGCGTAAGAGCCATTGTCTCCAGCCTAACGAGCCTCAGGGCCGCACACATGCCTAAGGGCAAAGCGTAAGAGAAATTGTCGCCAGCCTATCTAGCCTCAGGGCCACACACACACGCCTAAGGGCGAAGCGTAATAGCCATTGTCGCCAGCTTACATAAAAGATCGCTTCAATCGAAGGCGCAAGAGCCATTGTCGCCCGCCCAATACAAACGCAAAACTTGAGGGTCGACTGAGCTCGAGTCGCTGCCCGACTTGGAGACTGGATCCACGAGAGTTAAAACGTAAGGGCCACCGGCCCATGCAAACATAAAAAGCTCGAGGAATTTATGAGCTCGAGTCGAAACTCGACTCGGAGACTTTACTCAAAAAGTTGAGCAAAAGCACAAGTGCTCAAAAATC